AGCGTTATTTTCAAGGCCGTTTAGGTCAACGAGTCTCACAACCGCCACGTTTATTGTGCTCTGTTGACGTCGAAATGGACCAGGTTGCTGACGTCGTAAATGAAACAATCAAGGCACCTGAAAATGCTACAAAAACCCCGACCGTTGAGCTTAATTTAGAGTCGTCTATTGCGTCCCTTGCTCTTTTTCTTATGGCCGTTATATCGATTTATATCGGATCAAAACGTTCGGTGCATGCCCTCAAGTCTTCCCTTGAAGAAGAGGTTTTCATCCGTTTTTATCTCATATTTTTTGCAGAATACCAAGAATTTAGAAATTATGTCGAAAGAAGATGCAATGAAGTTCCCATTATTTGCCAGTATGGCATTGCTGGGCATTTACTTGGTTTTTAAGGTAGATTGGTAGTTCATCCTGACGTTGCTAGATTTTCGCTGCGAAATACATCAACATGCTCTTGGCCGTATACTTTTTCGTCCTCGGGGCCTCTTCTATCTTCTTCCTTATCAGGTAGCAATTTGTAAATTTTAACACACGTGTCAGGCACACTGTCAATCACCTTGTACCATCCTGTTTTCCAAATCTGAAGTACTCTATCTCAATGAAATCGTCCTCGCCAGAATCGGAAGAGAACTCAAGTGGTTTGGTTCAACTTCATTTAGTTACATGTTTTTAGAATGTTTTAGTTTTGACTTCGAGCGCAAAGACGTATTTCCTCTTGCCTTTTCCCTGGCAGTTGGCTTTACTTATCTATTTACTCAGGTATGTATATGTTCTCAATCAGTTACTTTTAGCACTGGATAAGCAACAACATAATCGGCGTTGCGATTGCAACTACGGCCATCGAGTACTTACACCTTGATAAAGTAATCAATGGCTGCATTCTCCTGAGTGGACTATTTTTCTACGACATCTTTTGGGTCTTTGCTACTGATGTCATGGTTTCTGTAGCAAAGTCATTTGAAGCCCCCATCAAAGGTTTGTATCGCTCCTTGCTTTTTCTTTCGCGTCTTTTCACGTAGCCTAATCCTGTTCTTGTTTAGTTGTATTTCCACGGGACATTCTGACTGGTGGATTATTCTCCAAGGAGTTGTCCATGCTTGGTCTTGGGGACATCGTCATTCCTGGCATCTTTCTTGCCTTGCTTCTGCGTTTCGACGCTAGGTTTGTTCACTAAAGTCGTTTGGATTTCTTCTATATTTGTATTTTAACTTATTCGTTATAAACCCGGAACATGCTTCGGAAAGTGTGTGGGATGCAACCTATGAACACCACGGAGAGGCTAAAATAAGAAACTTTCTAAATGCTTTATTGACAGAAAAAGAACATGGTTCGGCTGAAAGAATTGTCTTTCGACAGAAAATATACACAGAGCGGTATAAACTCACTCTGGCCTGGTCATTTGGTGCCCAACAATTCCATAACAATTCTACAAAAAATGTAGTTCTAATGGAATATTTTTCGAGTGGGGTTATTCAGGGCGTTTCGTGTCATATAACACCCTTGATCATATTCCCGAACTAAGAATATCAACGCTTATAAGAAAAAAAGTTTATTGGACGCGACCATTTAACTTTCGAGAAGGCGGTCACTCGACATGGTTTGTCAGTTTCATATTGCCTTTCGTGTTCTCACCTGCCATTTGGAGGCAAGACCAACATATTCCAACCGCCTTTATGGGTCTAGATCTTCATTTATTTATGTATGGTAAGTTATCTTAGTCCGTTGATCCAATTTCCGCGTAGAACGGTCCAAATTAATCTTTTCGAATCAGTTTGGGAAGTTCAAACTAGAGACTACCTTCGGCTCAATCCTGGCAAACATTGTCGGCAGTGGCAATCGTACAGGTTTATCCTTCGCGTTTAGACTTAACCGAAGACAATTGAAGCAGCTCATAATAGCGACAACAGAAACAGCAGTAGAACTTCGATGAAATTTTACTTATTCCAGACTTAATAATAGACGAAAGAACGACAATTCGGCCGTTGTTACCGACAATGTGCCGCACAGTGAGACGGTAACTTACACGTGAATTAGTTTTGTCAGCGGTATTGCGCAGCACCTACTAATCCTCTTCTCCAAACTCTTTGTGTCCAATGCAAAGTAAATCAAAAATACTGAAGACCGAAGCAGGCGCAGGCGGCGAACATGGCGTATGCCTGTGCCCATGCAGGCTACCACACCGCATTTGGTGCCTATCCAAAATAATATGCTGTGTCTTGATCTGCCCTCATGTTTCTATATGGCAGCTCCTTTTAGTGCCGATCTAGACCCAAATTTGCCTTGCTGACAGTCCTTTGCAAACTATATCTGCAAAAGTTTGCTCTCTGCTGATTTTCTTTCTTTTGAACTCAAATTTCTTTTTAACTTCGTTACAGACTTAACAGAAATGGATGTCAGACTTATTTTTGGACGTCCTTCTTTGCCTATGTTGTTGGACTACTTGCCACCTTCGCGGCAATGTACATCTTCAAACATGCTCAGGTTGGTTCCCAACAGTTTAAACCCATTTTTTTCTTCGTCCTCTCTTGATATTAGGAATTCCTGCTTGCATCTGTGTTTAAAAAGCCACCTCGTCATTAACGATAGCTTAATGTAAGAGGTAGTCTTGAAAATATATGGGGTTCGATTTGTACAAAGTGATGCTATTACCAAACCTTCTGTGAACCATGGAAGGTAACTACGGGTTCCTTGTAATAACTTACTTTCTACGAAACTCTATACTGTCTGCAGCCGAAAAGTGACAGCTGCATATTCTCAGTTGCTGTTATCAGCAAAGCATCCTCGGATCGATGCACATGAACAGTCTCAAGTAAGGCAGTCCACACCTGGTTCGAGACTGTGCACAGCAATCTAAGTCGGCCAATATGGTCGGTCCACGTGCTTAATTGTCCACCTCATGACATCGTTGCCTTGGTCTAATCCGACCACAACTTATGCTGAAAAAAGGAAGGAGACTGTCTA